AAAATCGTCAAGGGGATGCGCTGACGAAGCAGGGGCTGTTCAGACACAGCGGGCAGTGCTGGAATCGGCAGCGCCGACGAAATCGGCGAAGTCGGCAGAATCGGCGGCCGGTGCTGACGATGAGTCCGGACGATTTATAGTCCTAGGCTTGACGAAAACGACTGGGGGGCCTAGGCTCACGCTGGGGCAGTGGCAGCGATGCCAACAGTGGGAAAAATCGGCAGCGATGCCAACAGTGGGAAAAATCGGCAGCGCAGATTTTTTGACGAACATGGGCTGGACGCTGGGCTGTCCAGGCCAGGCAGGAAAAATCGTCAAGGGGATGCGCTGACGAAGCAGGGGCTGTTCAGACACAGCGGGCAGTGCTGGAATCGGCAGCGCCGACGAAATCGGCGAAGTCGGCAGAATCGGCGGCCGGTGCTGACGATGAGTCCGGACGATTTATAGTCCTAGGCTTGACGAAAACGACTGGGGGCCTAGGCTCACGCTGGGGCAGTGGCAGCGATGCCAACAGTGGGAAAAATCGGCAGCGATGCCAACAGTGGGAAAAATCGGCAGCGCAGATTTTTTGACGAACATGGGCTGGACGCTGGGCTGTCCAGGCCAGGCAGAAGGGGATGCGCTGACGAAGCAGGGGCTGTTCAGACACAGCGGGCAGTGCTGGAATCGGCAGCGCCGACGAAATCGGCGAAGTCGGCAGAATCGGCGGCCGGTGCTGACGATGAGTCCGGACGATTTATAGTCCTAGGCTTGACGAAAACGACTGGGGGCCTAGGCTCACGCTGGGGCATTGGCAGCGATGCCAACAGTGGGAAAAATCGGCAGCGATGCCAACAGTGGGAAAAATCGGCAGCGCAGATTTTTTGACGAACATGGGCTTGGACGCTGGGCTGTCCAGGCCAGGCAGAAGGGGATGCGCTGACGAAGCAGGTGCTGTTCAGACACAGCGGGCAGTGCTGGAATCGGCAGCGCCGACGAAATCGGCGAAGTCGGCAGCATGGTGTGACGATGAGTCTGGATGGACGGACTGCATAGTCCAAGGCTTGACGAAAAGACTGGTTGGTCTAGACACTGGGGCAGTGGCAGCCCGTGGGACTGTGTCCCAGATTCGTCCGCAGCGTTTGGCTTATTGGTGCGTGGCTGATGCGAGTGGGGACTTGGGGGCAGCGGACAGTGAAAGCAAGAGTTTCCCCGAGGCTGCCGGGAAAAAACGCCGCTCGGGCGATGGACGGGGTGAGATGACCCGGCTGCCCGCAACGAGTCATTCAATTCTCTGCCCTATCAACATACTCCCGATTGTTTGTTCGCTATCTTGGAAGAAGGAGATCTCTTCCTCCCCGGATGGCCGGTGCGATTACCGGCGGGCGGCGTTCAAATCACTGCCCTATCGGCTACAACTGCTGATGGGGGGATTAGAGGCCTGCCATGGTGGTGAGTGGGAGGCGAAGACCGTGAAAGCAAGAGTTTTCCCGGGGCTCCTCCGGTGGCCGCGGCATGCGGGCTGCTGGTTTGCCCGCATTCCGCCAATAAACGTCGTGCTTTCCACATGAAATCAATCCAGTAAAAAGCAGCCATATTTTTGTGAGGCTGCCAGCCGAAATTGGGGTCATTCCGGGCCCGGTTCCTATTTTTGCGTATTCCTTGATTTTTATATGGTATGAAAATAAAAAAAAAATACTTCCCCACCCCGAAAAATTCCGGGATTATTTCTTCTGGAGGTGGACCTGGATTTTTGCCAACCTATGTTGCAAATTTCAGCTACAAAATACCAAGAAATGAATTTTTTAGAGGGGGGGGGTGACAGCTGGGACCTAGTAGTGTCTACCCCTGCCCAGAGCTGGCAATAACACTTAATAGCTCTTTAGGGGGTGCCCCCCGACTGGCCATGGGCGCTGGGGATTTGCGAGCTGCTGCCTACGCTCGACGTAAACGTGGGGGGGCCTCACGGCCCCAAGTAACGCCGCAGCGATGACCGTTTTCCGGCCGGCGACGACCCGATTCCGGCCACCGTCCCTATAAAAATCACAACGCGCGCGCGCGCGCCGCGCGCCCGCGCTTGGGCTGGGGCTTGGGCGCTGGGGCCTGGGGCCCTGGGGCCCTTGGGGGCCCTTGGGCTCTTGGGCGATTGGGCGCGCGCGCGCGCGGCAATGATTCCCAGGCAGCCATGCTGCGCTGCGCAACGGGGGCTGACGCGGGGACAGCCCCTGCTGGCTTGCTATCTTACCCGCGGGGGGGCTGCCTTCGGGCCCTGGCCCCCGCGCTCTTGCCTGCCCCCCGCGCGGGAGAGGCTACTAGGTACACACGCTGGGGCAGGGGCAGCGGCAGCGATGCCGACAGTGGGAAAAATCGGCAGCGCGGATTTGTGCCGCTGCAGGCCCGTCGCGGAAAATCGGCAGCGCGGATTTGTGAACCTGCAGGCCCGTCGCGGAAAATCGGCAGCGATGCCGACAGTGGGAAAATCGGCAGCGCGGATTTGTGCAGTTAAAAAGCCCGTCGGGGAAAATCGGCAGCGCGGATTTGTGAACCTGCAGGCCCGTCGCGGAAAATCGGCAGCGATGCCGACAGTGGGAAAAATCGGCAGCGCGATTGTGTGCCGCTGTAGGCCCGTCACACTATGCGGAAAATCAGGCAGCGCAGATTGTTGACGAAACACGGGCTGGACGCTGGGCTGGCCAGGCCAGGCAGGAAAATCGTCTAGGGTGGCAGGCTCACGGCAACGGGGGCTGACGCGGGGACAAGGCCCCTGCTGGCTTGCTATCTTGCCCGGGCGGGGGGGCTGCCGTCGGGCCCTGGCCCCCCAGCCTCTTGCCTGCCCCCCGCCGCGGGAGAGGCTAGGCGCTGACAGGGGCCAGCCCGGACGTCGCTGGCCGCGGCATGCGCGAGCTGGTTATTCCCGCATTCCGCCTAGAAAACGTCGTGCTTTCAACATGAAATCAATCCAGTACAAATCAGCCATATTTCTGTGAGGCTTGCCCAGCCGTACCGGAATTTGGGGTCATTCCGGGCCGGTTCCTATTTTTTGCGTATTGTCACTTGATTTTTACTGGTAGGAAAATAAAAAAATACTTCCCGACCTTTCGAAAACTCTGGGAAATTTATCAAGTTGGATTGGATTTTTGCCAACCTATGCTGCCAAAATTTCCGCTCAAATACCAAGAAATGAATTTTTTAGCGTAGGGGGGGTGACAGCTGGGACCTAGTAGTGTCTAC